ATCCCTATATATAACCCCAATATAGATTTTCAGCTATTAACCATCTCTGAGCTCCACTTTGGCCCCGGAAGCAAACAATGCCCGTGGTAAAGCGGTTTAGGGTTTAGGGTTTAGGGTTTAGGGTTTAGGGCGCAGAAAAAAAACCTGCAAAGTCAAGCCGACACTCACAAAATCATAGATGAGGAACGAGGTTTGAGTCTCCAAAGTGCACGGAATTAAGCCAGCGCTCGGTTTCAACCAGATGTGGATTTCTCAAACTACAAGACCCAACTTGCCTAACCCCAAGTCTAAACCCAGCATCCTCGCAACTGAAGGCGTCAAAGGCCTAGGTCCAAACTTCCAAGCCCCACGCTCCCAGAGAGCTATCCAGCAACAACTGAACTGGACCAGGGTCTCCTTACTGTGGCAGTCTTTTTAACCTTCATCATTGTTAAGCACCCAACAGATGGGGCTGTAAACGGGTCATAGGAATATTTTGAAAACATAGGTTCCACGGTCTACGGAACCAAGCAGTAGGGGTTTTAACCTTTTTTGGTGTAGGTTGTATCACACATGAGCACCATGGGCACCAAGAAAACAACCTAGGCGAGCACTCTGCATCTGGAACGCCAGGCACTAAGATGGCACAAGGGCCTGTGTTCAGTTTCTTTACACAGAGTAAAGGATGGGTATGCAAGATCGAATTCACAGCATTCCTTCTTGCATACAGAGCTTTTCTACAAGGAAGTGTGATTGCAGGTGACATGGCTGCTTGTCCGTGACAGCTTTGCTGTTGATCTGAAGCACGTCTGATAGGGTTTCAGGGCTGTGGTAGAGTTTTAGTGGCTTTTGCCTTTTGGAGCGCAAGGTCCAAGTTCTGGGTGATTGCAAGAGAGCGTGGTCTCATGCAGTCTCCCCATTTCATGATGGATGTGATCAGTGCCATTGTTTTATAATTGGATCAGACCCAGACCGGTTTTGCAAATCCGGTGACTAGACGGGAAGAACGTGATCTCAAAGCGACGCGATGTCCCCGGCAAAGTAGAAAATGAGGCACCAAAATCCGTTGGATACATACCTTGGAAAAACTCTGTAATCCACTCCCACCCCATAGCCACTTCTGTCCTACCCATCGAAATCCTAGGAACGATTCCAAGCCTGCCTTGTGAGGATCAACAGCACTATTGCAGTGTTTCAAAACATTCCGCCAGCCACTACTTACTGGGTGTTGGTAGGGAAGATGGGGATATAGATAATCCCTATATAATGTTTGCTGGCGTATTCCCGGTTTCCTTTTCCACTATCCTTATATAACCCCAATGTATTCCTTTCTTCCCTGCTAAGAACCCAATCCCTAAATCCGAATCCCTAAGCCCCAATCCCTAAACCCAAATCCCCAAATCCTAAACCCAGACTAAGGGAGAGCAAGCCCTTCGATTTGGGCATCTACGTGCTCAGCCGATCTGCCTTCGTAGCCCCCAGGGCAGAGGTGGGGTATTCCCAAAATGAAAGGTTTAGGGTTTAAGGGGGTTGGTTTTATAGGGGTTCTATGGCCCTAAGGGTCCATGTACCCAATAATTAGGTACTCAGGGTTCTGGTAATAGTAACTATAGTACAGGTTTTGGGGAAGTATATGATTATTGAATACTTGGACCCTTAGGGTAGGATTACATGGGTTTGGATTTAGGGTTTAAGGTTTAGGAGTTCCCTATTTAGGGAAACTACCAGGTCTTTGAGCCGGATGACGACGAGCTGGTGGCCGTGCTGGATGAGGGAAAGGCCCAGGGAGTTGCATACTCTTCCCCTCATTGTTCAAGGACTTAAGTATTAGGGTTCCCCTAGGGCTCCAGTTACCTAAATAGTAGGTTACTGGGCTATGTAACTATAGGGTATATAGAACCCAGTTCCCATTATTTAGGTAGCTGGGAGCTCCAGGGTTCTATAGCAGTCAGACAATGGTATTCGGGGCCTAAAGCCCAGTTATTTGAGTCCTTGGACCCTTAAGGTTCTATGCTGGTTAGCAGAATCCTTGCGTCTAGAAAGCCCCTCCTGTTTTTGTCTACCTGGTCAAGTAGACTGTACGGTTGAGCCAGAGAGTCAGGATCCCAGTCTATGTGTACAATGTT